GGCTTCTTATTGTTTTCACTTCTAGAAGTAAAGACTTTAATCACAATCTGGAGCACAAGGACAGTAGGAAAACAGACCAGAGGACTTAAGGGATCCCCACCTACCCCTTCCTAGGCTGGAAAGAGATCCTTGTTTACACTTGACCTGCTGGTGCTTGACCTAGCCAGTGTCACAGGGAATGTGTGGTGTCTTCCTGCTTTGTGTGCTTCTGCTTTTATTTCACTGTAGAGCACGTCCTGAGTTTGAAGCTCAGGATAACAGAAGTCCATCTAAATGTGTTCCTCAGTTTAGATGAACACGCCCCTTCCAAATCTTTTCAGAGGAGGCAATGTGGGTGACTGTGGTGGGACTTCTCCCACTGAGTTCTTTGTGGTTGTCAGAAGCATGTGACAGTTACATCACCTACTGATCTGTTCCTTAAGCCGAGGACTGGCCTTCTGGTTGTTCCCACCTATGGGAGTGGCCCTCAGCCTGGGTCTGTTACCGCGGGCTATCTGTAGTCCACGTGGGGCCTTCATACAAACCTGGAAAAGGTGCTTCAGGAGCATGGGGTCCAGTGACCACGGCCTGGATTCCACTCCCGACCTGTCCTCTTAGTCTTGATTCCTGTGCAGGGCACATTTATACAACTGTGCTTGGTGCCTATGCTTTGCTGGAGGTCAATAGGTGCTCGCTCTCTGGAGATTGTGAATGGCAGGTAGAGCTGCAGCTGGAAGGCTCCGAGGAAGGACCTGGGTATGGGCCCCACTTACTCAGTAATCCTTTGTGATTCAGATTCACCAGGCAACAAGAACAGAAGCTGCAGGGCTTCCAGAATCATCCACAAGGCCGACCGCTCCAGGTGAGTCTTAGAAGACAGATGGGCTTGGGAAGGGAGTGGAAGGAAGGGATCCAACAACATAATACTACTTTCCAGGTGCATATTACTTTCCACCTGAACTACCTATCCTCAATAGGACTATTTGGTTTCTTAAAAAAAGAATAAATTAATTACAAAAAAAAAAAAACAGAGCTCTTGTCTAACATGCACAAGGTCATAGGTTCAATCTCTAGTACCTCAAAAGAAAAATATCTATATATAAATAGTTTAGGACTCTTGTTTGGAAGCAGCAAAAATTGCCTTTAGCTACTTTAATTTAACCCGGGAGGTGGGGGGGCATTTATTTTAAGGAGTGAGCAGTGTCTCAAATGCTGGGGCTGGGATGAAGCCACCTCTGAAATTGCCAGGAGTATCTGCAGACTTCATCTCCCCTTGTAATCGGCTACTCCTGTATGTTTTTTGCTTCTTTTTCTTTCTGTACTGATCTTTGATATTTCCTTTTTTCCTCCTCCTCCTCCTTCTGCCACAAAATAAGGCATCTTGATTTATCCCTCTCCGTTCATGAGACTGGCCAGTTTGAGACTTCATCTTCCTAATCTCAATTCCCAGTTGATATCTGAGGAAGGGGCTCACTGGCCCAGCCTGATCAGATGTCCACTAGGTCTATGCATGTGTGGTCCATGGGAGACAGGGTCACTCTAAAGCAATACAATTCCCAGGAGCTACTACGGCTGGGTTGGGAGTGGCGGTTGCAGATCTCAGAAAAGGCGAAATGGAGCAGAAAACCAAATGGTGGTTCCTTCCAAGGGACGTGAAATTGGCTCTAATTCCTTCCAGGATGTCCATCCTTATCATTTGTGTACTGCTTACCAGTTTGGGGATC